TTACCAAATGTATCCAAATATTAAACATCTTATCCTTCTGGGTCATTTTTAAACTAAGTCCAAATCTGATGATTGTTGAACTGTTGCATTTCATGTCTAAGCCCAAAGTCTCCTGAGATGATCTGCAAAACGTAAACAAACAAAAAAACTATTATAAATAAAACAATAATTCAAAACCAAATCATTTCCATCGACTACACGAATCTAAAAAAAAAATGTTAAAAACAAAGATGAATAAAGAAAAAATATGGAATATTTGGAAACGCCGGAATGAAAATGATTATTGGAAATAAATCAATAAAAAAAAACTGTCTTACAGCCAAGAGTCCTCTTCCAAACAGAAGTTTTATTTCTTTGTTCCTTACAATACTATTCATAATCCAATCTCCGTCGCTTAATAAAATATATCTCTTCACTCCTCAACTTTCTTTCTTTCACTCTAAAATGAAGAAAAAAAACAATAACAGCTTATAGTAATAAAATTTGTATAAAATTGCGCAACTCTATACAGTATATATGTATGTATGTATCGTTAACATTTTTTTTGATTTCGTATTTTCATAATCTTTGCGTTCGTCGTAATCTAGGCGCTAGCGACGTTGGCTACGGCCGGGATGAGCTTGCAGTAGATCTCTATGCCCTTGAGGAAGACGTCGCGACCCAAGTACTCGTCGTCGTCGTGCAACAGAACGGGCGTGTTGTTGATGGGCGAGAAGCCGAGGGCGGGAATCCCGAGTTGCCTCAGGTAACGGCTGTCCGTTCCTCCCGGGAAGATGCGCGGCGTCATCTTCAACCCACTACAAGTAGAAATGTATAAGTATACCGGATAAAGCGGGGACTTGATTAAATTATATAATCGCGATCATTTCTATTTAGCTAATGAGAAAATGAGAAAACTCACAGTTTGTCGGTGGCGCTCTTGAAAGCCAGCCAATACTTGTTGGACTCGTCCAATTTGGTGGGTGGGATGAACGGATCGAACTGCTCCTTCTCCATCACGACATCCTTGCCAGCTTCCTTGCACCACTGGTTCAAAGTTTCGAACCACTTGTCATTGTCAACGGTAACAGGAATACGACAGTCCATCATCACAGAAAACTCTGGTGGAAGCACGTTGGACTGCACTCCGCCCTGCAAATACAAATAATAATCTTAGCTAATACTTCTTTTGCCACTCAAGCGTCTTAGCCAATAAGTAGATTTAAAATGAGATGTTATACCTGCAGCATGGTAACATTCACAGTCATTACATCGCCGATGGTCATCTCCGGGTTGTTCTCCAACTTCTGCTTCTCCTTCTCGCGGAAGTCGAAGATCTTGTCGAGGATGACGCGCACCTTCTCGGCGGCGGTGTTTTCCAGCAGCAGAGATCCGTGACCCGGTTGACCGGGACAACGGAAGTTGATGTGCCAGATGCACCTCTCGCCGTAGTACAGCAGGAAGTCGTCCTTGTCGTTGGCCATGCCCTCGTCCAAAGCGAACCCGACGTTCAGCGACTTGAAGAAGTCCGTCTTCACGAACTCGAACATACCTTCGCTGCCGCCGATCTCCTCGTCGGGCACGAAGCTGCAGTGCAGGGTCCTCTTCAGGCGCAATCCGCTGGCCTTCAGGCGACGGATAGCCTCCAGGTATTGGATGCCGACGCACTTCATGTCCTGGGCGCCGCGGGCGTAAATCTTACCATCCGCGTCCATCTCTGCGCCGAACGGTTTGTGCGTCCAGTTCTCCTCGAAGACGGGCACCACGTCCATGTGGCTGTTCAACATCACGCTCGGAGCGTTCGGTTCTGTACCCTCCCATGTTATGATGAACACAGGTTTGGTCGGTGTCGTGTAGTGCACCTTGTAAGGTAGACCCAATCCGCTCGCCTGTCCTTTGAGGAACTTGACGCAATCATCTGCAAAGACGAAAACAAACTAAATTAGTTACATAATTAAAAAAAAATACATTTTTGATCCGAAGGGCGTGTCTTATATCATAGTAAACGCCCACATCTTCCTGTTATCAAACGTCTAATGATGATGTTTAATATCAGCTGATCCAAAATATTTTCTGTTTACATCTATTGGCCAAATATAGAAATACAACAGCATTTCCAAAATTTACTTACGTACACTTTTATTTACTTTCCGTTTATCTGCGGGATAAAAGTTATTTGTGAAATTATATAACGACAATCCAAAATTCGAAAAACACACAACAATATTTGCATTGCGATAGCCGCATAGTCACGTTCGAAAAATGATAAAAGCAGAGACGAAACGAAAATAGAACAGGGCAATCTCGGTCCACACGAAAACATAGAACAATGGAAACGATATGTTCTATTTGCGGACGCGTCAGTGTTTAAGAGAGAAAAAAAAAACGAATTGTAATCCAAGAATGAGAAAAAATTAAAAGTCGTCAAGGAGATTTGACTTTCACCAGCGACACGTAACTACTAACTACCACTGTAACCATGTACAACAAACTATTTTTTTTGTTGCCACCCCCTCGCAACGCATTTTTTTTTGTTGGTATCTTTTGCACCTGGTGGTGAATTGTGGGTAATAGAAAAAAAAAATAGGAGAGAAAGAAAGAGAGAGTTTAATAAGCCCGGGTGTAATTCGTAAGAAATTCGATCGGTTTGGGCCAGGTGCTAATATACATATTCATGAAGCAGGTAGGACACGGTAGGACAATTCCTCAATGGAATCGATGATCCATTCAGGTTTCGCCTCGCCGCTCGCAAAACCTAATCCGAAATTTTGTTATCTTATTGAGAATAATAACAAATAAAGTTATCCAAATTACATTTTAAATACCCGAATTACGAAATGGAAAATGACTGGTCATTAACGTCGCACTAATGAGTGAATTCCAAGAACTTTCGAAATAATTACGCATAATGTGAAACGCAATTAGCGATGGAAAAAAGGAAATGTAATCGTGGCACTTTGAAACAAAGATTTTTTTTAACAACTACAATAATTAGAATGGATTCAATATATGCATATGATAGTTGAATGATTGGGGAATGTAGTGAGTGTTCATATATTGCTGTAATTTCATCCGTTTGGCTGTAATTTACGTTCAAAAATGATGAAAATTAATACTCGAAAAAAGCAGTGTCTTCACATTTCAGTGATTATCTCAATAACTACAATAGGTAGAATGGATTCAATATATGCATATGAAAGTTGAATATTTGGGGAATGCAGTGAGTGTTCATATATTGCTGTAGTTTTATCAGTTTGGCTGCAATTCACGTTCAAAAATGATGAAAATTAACACTCGAAAAAAGCAGTGTCTTTTAATACATTTTAAAGTCTACTATTGCATTGTATTGCAGTTTATTAAGTTGTTCTGTATAAACTTGATCAATGTTCTTTTCGTTTTCTTCTGATAGCATTTAGTTGGACTAGTTAAAAGTAGATTAGATAGATGAAATGAGCACTTTACTCTAATTGAAAGCAATTGATGTTAAGTTGGGATTAACTGATAAACAGAACTGATTCATTAATAGTTAGATTGCGTCGCAAAACGCAGTATCGATTCATTTGTTACGTTTCCTTGGTGATGTGAACAGATTGAATCGAAATATGATGATGATGATTCATCGAAAATATCCGAAAGTAAGCAATTCGTTGTGGAAATGAGTTGCAAGAGAAGAAAATGGAAACAAATAAATTGCAGCGCTATAAATATAATTTCGTAAACAGTGAATTAAATGGGACACAAATTGCATTTGCTCCCTCGACTCAGTACAACCAACAATAGATCAAGTGGACAAGGGCCAAAATGACAAATAACAATGAAAGTAAATTGGACGTTGAATCAAGTTGTCTGGTTGTAACAAATGACTGCGACACACACATAAACAGAATGATTACCTTCGATCCTAGCACACAGAGAACACTCACACACACACAATAATAATCAGTTATAATGGATAAATGAGAATTGTTTCCTTACCAAATTGCAGCGATTGATGAAAATGTAATTGAGCAGATTCGCGTCGCTTCAATTGATTGACGTTTGTTTAATTGCAGCCAACATGAATTATTCAATAAATAAAAAATAAACAGTTGCTATTTCGATTGATTGCACTTTTCCAGTTTAGTAATTGCAGCCAATACGATGATGAATTGAACTTTATGCATTTAAGTTTGTGTATTTGTGATGATAGAAATTGTTTATTTTGTTTCTAATCGGATAATTGATATTTGTGTCAAATGCAATTGTTTATAGAAGGTGTTTCTTGGGAGTGATGTGGGTTTTTGGGTGTAGCTGATGAATGATCCACACCCCACAGCTGATTGGGATTAAAAGGATATGAAGAGTGCTTTGTGAAACAATTGCAGTTGTTGTTCGATTGTTCGATTGCAACGCGATGTGTGTGTTTTGTTGGTAAGAAATTGATGTAGTAAATAGGTTTTTTTAGTGTTAGTAGTAATAGTAGTAGTTCGCTTACCGTAGTTGATGTCCGGATGGACGCTTGGAATGCGTAAATATTCCCTGAAGTTGGTGACTGCCTGCGCGTCCAAGTCAGCTGATCGCTGTTGGTGGTGTTGGACGCCGTCCGACATCTTCCGGTTCTCTACGGTAAACAGATCCGTGCGAATTTCGAACGTCGTCGGGGTTCGCGCCGCGACGATTGCGACCGTCTTGCCGTCGCGGCCCCCTTTAAACGGACCCAAAACCATATCTCCCACCTCCGACAGCAATCGGCCACCACTGAGAAAACATCAAACAAAACGTGATAAGAAACATTATTCAATAATAGAGTGCTGCGGTTGAGTAGGAAAAAAAAAACAAACAAACAAACCCGATGAAGAAGAAGAAGAAGAATGCGCGTCTTTCGTTTGTTCACAGCCTTCTACTCCGTCTCTCTCTCTTCTTGTTGTTGTTGTTATTAAATAACAGCGGAAGTGGATAGTTGACTGCAATTGCTCTAGATTAATGCGAAATCTTTATCAATTATTTGTTGTTTGTATTTTCGAAATGAACGGTGTGAACGTCGCAGCGATGCGTTGTAGGGGATGAAGCTGTCTCGCTTACTGCGGTGGCGGTCGATTCGTGCTGCGGGGGTGGCAGCAGATCTTGCGCAAGATGCCAACCCCCCCATTTGCTCCAGATCGATTTCGAACGCAACCACCGATGACACCCCAGAAACGTCATCTTTGACGTAGTGATCATCATCATCGTCGTCATGTGCGGACGACTTCTTCTCATGCCGTTGCTCTTGGGGCTCTGGGGGTCGGGGGAGGCCGGCGTGCTGCTGTGGGGACCGCAGGAGATGCTCCTACCGACGTTGTCGCGTTTCGACGATCATCAGTTGGAGGATCTTCTGCAGAAATTAGACAAACCTAAGGTGGTGGCTTTTCGAGGCGACCACACGCTCCTTCTCGGCGACGATCTTCGGGTGCTGCTGCAGGACGAGCACACCGCATACGTGCCGAACGTCGACATCGACGTGGAAGATTTGATCGGTGAGTCAGTCTTTGCGAAGAAACAGGTTTTTCGATTTCACTAAGGGCGAGAAACGCACGCACAACAGCTAGACATATTTTGTTACTAAACTAATCTTTTTCAAGAAACAACGCCGTACTTCTTTTTTTCCCCAAACGTAACAATGCAACTACGCAAATGCTACCAACCATCTGCACTGCGTTACCCTGTCCACCCAATTACCGTTCCTTTCACCCAAAAAGGGCTAAAGCCGAACAGCTGAGCAACGCTTTTCTCAAATACAAACTTAATTATTCAATTATTCTCTTAAAAAAACGAACAAAGTTTCCATTCATCCAAACATAACACATCATAAATTCACAATTAAATTTGAGTCATTTGAAAAGAAATTGCCATATAATTGTCTAATAATGCTGTAAATCACGCTGTTTAAGCAGATAAAAACATAATCGCTTTGCACTTTGTAAATACGTGTCTTTCTTCTTCTTTTTTTTTTGTTTCGCCTTTCGTCGTTCTTTTTTTTTTTTTGTGTTCTGATGCAATGAGCCTACTTAAATTTTTGTTTATCAAAGACGCTTGAATGGTAATGCGGAAATTTTACCTTGTCCTAGTTAAAAAAAAATAATTTTGTAATCATCATCGAGTTAAAAATAATGAAAATTTATGATTGAATAATGAAAGTATTGAATTTGTGAATCAAAGTAGAAAATTTCTAAACGATTTAACAAATTAATAATTATGTTTAATGTATTCACACTTTAAACTTCTGCATTCGTTTCTACTTAAATTTTTTTTCGATTATCGATTGAATATGTGAAATGGAAAACGAAGATATAATTTTGTAATCATCATCGAGTTTTAAAAAAATAATGAAAATTTATGATAAAATAATGAAAGTGTTGAATTTGTGAATCAAAGTAGAAAATTTCTAAACGATTTAACAAATTAATAATTATGTTTAATGTATTCACACTTTAAACTTTTGCATTCGTTTCTACTTAATTTTTTTTCGATTATCGATTCAATATAAGATATAATTTTGTAATCATCATCGAGTTTAAAAAAAATAATGACAATTTATGATAAATTAATGAAAGTATTCAATTTGTGAATCAAAGTAGAAAATTTCTAAACGATTTAACAAATTAATAATTATGTTTAATCTATTCACACTTTAAACTTTTGCGTTCGTTTCTATTTAAATTTTTTTCGATTATCGATTCAATATGTGAAATTGAAAACAAAGATATAATTTTGTAATCATCATCGAGTTTTAAAAAAAAATAATGAAAATTTATGATAAAATAATGAAAGTATTGAATTTGTGAATGAAAGTAGAAAATTTCTAAATGATTTAACAAATTAATAATGTATTCACACTTTAAACTTTTGCATTCGTTTCTACTTAAATTTTTTTTCGATTATCGATTCAATATGTGAAATTGAAAACGAAGAAAGGTCAAAGCAATTGCATCAATAATTCGTATTTCGTTTTGTAATAAAATTGTATTTTGTTTTGTTTGACAACAACAGTGTTGGATGGAGATGTCGAGAGCGATCTGTCGGTGATCAGGGGGAAGCTCGACGAGCATCGGGATGAGAACGTGTTGGCAGTACTGATGGATGGGCGGAGTCGCGTGAAGAGGGAGGAGCAACAGGAAGGCGAAGGTGGAGCTGGTTATGAGGAAACGGAGAATCCTGTTGATCAACAGATGGCGCAGCAGGAAGAAGAGGAAGAGGAACGTGCCGAAGAGGTGGAGCAGTTGGGAAGGAGAGAGGGTGGTGCTGAAACGCCGGCGTCGACGACTGCTGCACCGGCTGCTGCTGAGCCGCCCACCAAGTACGAGGAGCACGTCGGACCCGTCCTCTACAATGCGAACGGAAACGCGATGGTCTTCCTCGCGAAAGCCCCATCGCTGAAGGTGAACAATACTCTGATGTCGCTGGGCAAGGCGACTTTGGTGACTGTGGACAACCGTACGAAGTTCAGCAAGTTGAGCGTGACAATCCCTATAGCTGACGGGGGAAAGGTGACTCTCCGATTCAAGTTCATGTGGACGGTGGGATACTGGTCTCTGGATCTGATCGAACTCGAGATGGACGCTCAGACGTACACGCTCACCACGAGCAGGGACATCGTGTCCGCACGAAACTTTTCGTACCATTGCAGCGGTCCGATGATCTTCATGAACACCGAGAACAGCATCAAGCTGAGTCTGTACAGTCTCCAGCTGCAGCCGAACACCAAGAAGGGCCGTTTCGACGATGCCTACGATTGCGTCTCCTTCACCACCGCACCCATCTGGTCGGGCATCTTCGTCTCTTCCATAATGCTCGTGGTTCTCGCCCTCGCCCTCACCGCCCTCAACAACATCAAAACGATGGACAAGTTCGATAACAGCAAAACCAAGCAACTCTCCATCACCGTCTCCGAGTGAATCGTCGCAAGCTTCGCATAACACCATGCAGCAACAGCAGCCAATACCAATAATAATACTTTAATGTTGTAAAAAAATAATTGAGAAATAAAAAAACAATAAATTAATTATTTTTGCCGGGTGGAGTGGAGTTCTTAACCATAAATAGTCTCTTTTATTTACAAAGGACTTCATCACTTCCTTCCTTCCTACGTTGCGCAATACGCGGGAAGCATCATCTGCGGTGCGCCCGATATCAGCGGTTTACCGTCCCTCGGACACACGGAAATTCTACGAAGAGAACGGAAATAATAAGATATTATGATCTAAACACTATTTGCACATTCGCCCACACGAAAACAACTTATCTTCCTGCCTCACCGCCATCTTACAAAAAAAAAAAAAA